AAAAAAAAAAAAAACGCAAAAAACGCAAATTGATGAATATATGCCGTTGGTTGACAGGTGCTGTTGATGTTAACTGCCGATTTAGATGGACAAGATGAGAAGGATAAAGTTTGCGTGGAACGATTGCTTCGAATACTGGTGATGGAATTAGAAATGGACAAGCCGGACACGAGTAATATATGGCAGCGTAGCAACAAGCGAGAAGTTCATTTGGTCATTATGCGATTGCTGAGTGAGTGATGATTTGAAGACAAAAGGATAATGTTGTTACATTCGCAGCGACGTAGTAAACGACACTGCGAATGTAACACGTCTGTTATTCTCGTCGTCGTTTACAGGCGTTTTAATGTCTCGCTCGAAACACACTGCGAAAACGCAACCAGCGGAGAGTTCGAATTTCATTTCTCAAACGGCAGCTGCGATACTCAACGAGGCTGGAGTGATCGATTATTGCTCGACGTTGCTGAAAGCGTTGTTGGAATATTGGAAAACGTACGTACCGTTCCGTTGATCGCCTGTCGATCGTTCGTCGTTCGCGTGCGAGAAAACGCGTGAATTCGCCAGCCATTTTCACGCATTTTCTTCTTCTTCTTCTTCTTCTTATTCTTCGTTTCGTTCTCGAACGACGTAGAACGTCGACCGAAGAAGCCGACAGCATCCTCGGTGGCCAATTGCTCAAAGAACATCTGACCGCTTCTCTGCCGGACATGTCGCCGCTGTTTTTGCGACAACACGTCAAGGGACACGCCGGCGACATATTCGAGCCTTATCCGCAGTTACTCACGGAAATGGTGTTGCGATTACCCTATCAGGTGTACAAATACGCCGAAAGCAGTTCGACGCAGTCAGCTTTCGAACAACCTTGGTACTTTTATCTCTGCGAGTACATGATGTCTTACCAAACGCCACTCGTTAGAAGACAAGTACGCAAATTGCTGCTCTTTATCTGCGGTAATAAGGAAAAGTACAGACAACTGCGGGATTTGCATGCCCTGATCTCCCACGTTCAAGTAAGTTGCTGTTCTCGCTATTCTCGCGACCGCTATTCTTTTACCGTATTTTATCGACGTGTTGCATTCACGCACACGCACACGCATACGCATACGCATACGCATACGCATACGATTCGTACGATTCCAGTCGGTTCAACAATGCTGTACCACTGGTGGATTCGATCCTCTTCAAACACGGCCACGCTCCATCAATTTGCCGTATGATTCGTTGGTGGATTTGATCGAGCACCTGAAATGCTGCGTAGAAATTGCTACGAGTCGCACGGGAAATTGGCAGCGATTCTGCTTGAAGCAGAACACGGTGCTCTCTTATTTCTTTACCATATCGACGTTGTTGGACGAAGGCGTTAGCCCCACCGTGTTGCAACTCTTGCAGTGCGCCATATGCTCGAGCAACAAGTCGAAAGAAACGACAACGACAACGACAACGACAACGACAACGACGACAAAGGATCAACAAACGAAAACGAAAGTAAGCGAGACGACGTTCCGTTTCAGCGGTGTTGTCCGTTTGGAAGAGAAAGGAAGAAAGAGAGAAAGAAAGAGGTCGTTCCTCCGCTGCGATCTGTCTGTGTTTCAGGAATCTGGGAAATCGGGGACTGTAACTGGCAGCTCGAAAGAAAGACGGGAACGTGAAAAGTCGGAAGACTCGGATACAGAAGCCAAGTTCGAGGAAGCTCAATGTTTGGCATTGGTCGAACAAATTCAGAAGCAAGTGTCTCCAGGCCTGTTGACGAAATTTATTCAAACCTTTTTACTCGAGACGAACAATACGAATGTCCGTTGGCAAGCGCACTCGTTGATACTGGCTATTTACAAGTGAGCGAAATTTTTTTACATTTTTTACATTTTTTACTCCTTTTCCTTTTTGGAACCAGGGTTGTTTTTTTTTTTTTTTTTTTTTGAACGCTCCTACCGACCGTTGAAATAATTTTTGCAATTTCAGGAATTGCGGTTCGGCGGATCAAGAAGTTCTACTAGACTTACTGTGGCGGTTGTGGCCGTTGTTGCCGGCGTACGGTCGAAAAGCAGCGCAGTTCGTCGACTTGCTCGGCTACTTCTCTCTGAAGACTCAGCACGCGAGTAAAAAGATGCACGCGTACATGGAACAAGCGGTGGCGGTGTTGCGCGCGCAGAATCAATTGCTGGCACGTCACCCGAACGCGAATCTGTACGCGAACCTGGCGCAGTTCGTCGAATTGGACGGCTATTATTTGGAGAGCGAGCCCTGCTTGGTCTGCAACAATCCCGAAGTTTCCATGTCGACGATCAAGCTGTCGTCGATCAAGGTCGACTCCAAGTTCACGACGACCACGCAAATAGTGAAACTGATCGGCAGTTACACGATAAGTCGCATCACTCTGCGCATAGGCGACCTGAAGAGGACGAAAATGGTGCGCACGATCAACATATATTACAACAATCGGTCGGTGCAGGCTGTCGTCGAACTGAAAAACAAGCCTGCCATGTGGCACAAAGCCAAAAAGATAACGCTGGCCCAAGGACAAACGGAGATCAAGATGGAGTTCCCGTTGCCGATCGTCGCGTGCAATCTGATGATCGAGTACGCGGACTTTTACGAGGATATACAAGCTTCGTCCGAGACTCTGCAATGTCCGCGATGTTCGGCCAACGTGCCGGCGAATCCCGGCGTTTGCGGCAACTGCGGCGAGAACGTGTTCCAGTGTCACAAGTGCAGAGCCATCAACTACGACGAGAAGGACCCGTTCTTGTGCCATGCCTGTGGCTTCTGCAAGTACGCCAAGTTCGACTACACGCTGACCGGCAGGCCGTGTTGCGCGGTCGACCCGATCGAGAGCGACGACGATCGAAAGAAAACGGTGGCGACGATCAACACTCTGCTGGAGAAGGCCGACAGAGTGTACAAAACTCTGATATCGAACAAGCCGACGTTGGAGATGTTGCTGATAAAAATATCGGAGCATCGATTGGATCGAGGATTGGTGGAGGACGGCGCGGCAGCGGCCGCCGCAGCCGCTATCCAAGTATCGAGCGGCGGCGGCAGCACCCAGGTGAACAGAGCGATACAGCTGCTGGCTCAGAGGTACTGCGGCGAGTGTAAAACTTCGTTCGAAGAACTCAGCAAGATCATACAAAGAGTTTTGGCTTGTCGGCGAGAACTCGTGGCGTACGATCGCCAGCAACGAGACCAGATTATCGCCAGTTGCTCGTCGTCCAGCGCAACGACCAACGACCACGCGACGAACGACGACGCGGCCAACGACCACGCGACAATGACGACGATGACGACGATGATGACGGCAAGCAGCAAAGACGAGTCTTTGGCGAACCAAGTTGAACAGTCGACGACAACGACGGCGACGACGACGACGACGACTACGACTACGACTACGACTGCGACTACGACTACGACTACGACTACGTTGGCGCATCAACAACCTGCCGCGAGCGTCGGATACGCGAATCCGGTGCTGCAGACGGCGGGTCGTTGTTACGGATGCGCGACCGCGGCTACGGAGCATTGCCTGACTTTGCTGCGGGCCCTTGCCACCAATCAGGTGGCCAAGGAGGTCCTCTGCAAACAAGGATTGATACAGGAACTGGTGGAGCACAATTTGCGAAAGGGTACCGTGCAGATGCAGGAAGAGGTTCGGCAGTTGCTCTGCCTCGTTACCAGAGACAACGCGCAGTCGACCAAAGAGCTTTGCGGCTTGTTGACCGGTCGAATCACCCTGACGCTTCGCGGTCGTGTCGTCACGTCGGACCTGTCGTTGGCCGTACGTCACGAAATGGCGCTGCTCGCGGCTTTGATTCAAAAGGAGGACGCTTGTTGGGAGCAGAAGCTGCGCTGCGTGATGCAATTGTTCCTAATGGCGTGTAAAGAGTCCAAGAGCCCCGTGGTGATGGAAAGTATCATCCTACCGTGTTTGAAGATATTGCAAGGTCTGGTGAAACCAGAGCAGCAGCAACAGCAACAACAGCAACAACAGCAGCAGCAGCAGCAGCAGCAGCAGCCGGCGACGACAGTCTCGAAGAAGAGTT